TGAGCTGGAAACTGAAAATTTGGCTTTATTTGCCGGTGGAGTTTGTCGGTGGACCTAAATGTTGGAATACTCGAATTTTTACTGCAGCTGCTGGTAGAAGACTCTTTAATATACTTTTTTTTTGTTTAAATTCTGTTTCTGTAATGTACTTATTCAAAGCTTCTTCCCTTGCTTTCAGCAGCAAAAAGAGAAAAAGGATGCTGACCTATCAGTGCGAGAGAGACAGTTATTCAATTTTCCCATTGTCGTTGGGTGCAGTGGCATTTTGTACTTCACTCCAACTGATCGCAAAACCAATTGTGGTAAAAATATATGTGAATTAAGCTTTACTTTTTGATTTAGCTCATTTTTCGAGATTGTAATCTGATTTTAATTACTAAGTTTTACATGAAATTATCTTCAATGATTGCTCGACTTTTTTCACTGGTATTTGCTTCCTATTATATGTAGTCGACTTGATCTCACATGTAACTGCATATTACATTGAATGTGTTTGATGAAATAGCCAATTGTGCTCTCTTTCTTGATAATAGCTCAGGCAAAGGTAATTTGTACTGGGCCTCGATAAATCTTTCTAGTTGAAAACTAGAAACCAAGGAATTTGTTGGTATATTTGCCTTAAAATTAAATTCAGTTTCATACTATTTTTTCTTAAATTCCTGACTGCAAATTGATTTTATGTGGGTGCTCAACATGCATTGATATTATTATGAGGTTTGGCTGAGTTGTCAATCGTAAGTTGTTGTCTTTTGGTAATAACCTCCAAGATATGATGTTACTTGCTCCAGAACAAACATAAATGTTGCTACAGAACTTAAAACTGAATCTTCTTTTTCTTTTTAGTTCAACAATGAGATCAAATCAAAGGAAATGATTTAGAAACATAAGGTACTAAATTTTTAGACGAGAAAAAGGATCATACTAACAAGATTGAAGACTTACGGGGAAGACCATGGGTATTCTTCAAAGCGGTCATGAAGTTGAAAGGGTTCATATAGTTGTTTATTTGTAGCTATTAAGTTTTTCGCTTCTGCTTATTATAGTTTCATTCTGATCCATTGTTGCTGACCCATATAACAACTTGGCACAAGGATTGTTGATGTTCTTATTCTAGCTGTTGGGTTGCTATGTGTGTATGAACTTTTTGCCGTCTATGTGGCCGGGTTGCTATGTGTGTATGAACTTTTTGCCGTCTATGTGGCCAAGTCTTACTGATCTTCTTTTTGGTGATGTTTCTCCAGCTGCTGACGAGAAGCGGCAACAATGTGTTGGACCAGAAGGTCTATGCGGAGGACAATAGTGGATGATTCTGGCAAGCACTCCAAATTTATTTGTTGCAGAAGAGCGGTACGGGACAAAAATGCAGATCATTGTAAAAAATCTAACCGGCAGACCATCACGCTCGAGGTCGAATCAAGCAACACAATCGACAAGAAAAACAACAAAGGTTGAATTTTTATTCGGTGTTTTAGAATAATTTTTGCGAACTTCTGCATTTCTGCTCCAGGGTTTTTTTGGTAAACCAAAAACTATCTTTTTGGCGCCTTTTGTGATTGCTGTATATCTTATCATGTTGTGGGACTTCTACCTTTGTGGTGGATTCATATGAATTCTACCATTGTGATGATTCGTATGAAGTAATTTTAAGCTACTTTTAGAAATACTAGCAAATGTATGTATGTGTATTTTTCGAATTCGAAAAATATATGTACTAAGGTTGGACACATTTTTAACAACATTAGGTTAGAGAAAAAAAAAACACTATTTTATTTTAGAGTTATGGACTAAACTAGGGCCGGCTGTGCGTGCACAGCCAAAGGACCACTAGTATATATATATAAAAGGTGAATTG